AAGAGCCACACTCAAGGGGCCAAAGAGCTGCATGTGGCTTGCGAGCCGCAGTTTGCCGAGCACTGAACTAGACTGAAGGTGGCTGTGAAAGGCTTATTGGTCAGTGATTATTATCCTTTCTTCTATAAGAAATATAACTAAATAACTGTTTTACTTAATGAAATCTTACTTAAAACCCAGTAAGTGTGGAAAGAGGGGCTTGTATGATGCCCATCTTTCCTTCTCACAGAGCTACCTCGTCATCTCTAAGGTACTTTCATAGGATCTGTGTGATCCAAAGATCACAATTAGGAAACCACTATTTTTAACAATTTTGCAAAGTTCAGGGACTCAGAATTGACATCTATTCCCAGTAGATTTTCCTTTACTACTTCCATCCCCTCCTTTTCAGTGATGCAGGCTAATGCTCATTATATCCTTGGATCTGTGAAGTCGCCGCCTATTGATTTTTTTTGTAGTTGCTCTAAGATCCTACTTTTATAAGAATAATAGGCACTCAAGTACTTGATTGGCGGTGGATATCTCTAACTTTTCACTAATATTCCTTTGCCCTAAGAGCTCAGTTTTCAATCATAGTGTGAAGTCTGTTCTGTGACTTTGTCCCTGTTATCCTTCCCTTTCTCTGTCTTCCTACGTGAAGCTGCCTTAGTAAACCTCTAAGTGCTTAAAGTGCCACATTAAGTCCCAGTGTACTGAGTTTTAATACTTAAATGTATGATCTATTTATTCATTTGTGACATTATATTTAATCCATCACTTTTCTTCTTCTTTCAATATAGCTTAAAGAGAGGAAAATTCCAGTTCCCTAATAATAGATATCAAAGGTCATTCCCATTCAGCAATGTCTGGATTAGAGACGTACCAGAGATATAACTGGCTCCATCCCCAGGTCCTGACAGTTGCACTTTCCTTGGCTGTGAGATCACTATATGAACAGACACCTCATAATGAATTTTTGAATACCATATTGGGGGTATCACAAATACTTAAGTGATTCCCGTATGTGAGCAAAAATGCTCAACCTAAGGCTGTCTACAAATGAGAAAATTATCAGAGGCTAGAAGAGGGGTGGGCAAATTTTTTGACTCGAGGGCCACAATGGGTTCTTAAACTGGACCGGAGGGCCGGAACAAAAGCATGGATGGAGTGTTTGTGTGAACTAATATAAATTCAAAGTAAACATCATTACATAAAAGGGTACGGTCTTTTTTTTTTTAGTTTTATTCATTTCAAACAGGCCGGATCCGTAGTTTGCCCACGGCTGGGCTAGAATCTTTAAAAGAAGGGTTAATGGTGTAAGGCCGTGGTCGGCAAACTGCGGCTCGAGAGCCTCATGCGGCTCTTTGGCCCCTTGAGTGTGGCTCTTTCTAAGCCTTAGGAGTACCCTAATTAAGTTAATAACAATGTACCTACCTATATAGTTTAACTTTAAAAAATTTGGCTCTCAAAAGAAATTTCAATCGTACTGTTGATATTTGGCTCTGTTGACTAATGAGTTTGCCGACCACTGGTGTAAGGTAATAAAACAGTTGTACAAATCAACAAAAAGAGAGAGATGAATATGGCCCTACCTTGTGTTCTCAGTGATTAGAGCATCGGCCCATGGACCGAAGGGTCAGGGGTTCAATTCCTGGTCAAGGGCACATATCTGGGTTTCAGGCTCAATCCCAAGCCCTGGTTGGGGTGCATGCAGGAGGCAACCAATCGATGTTTCTCTCTCTCCCTCCTCCCCCACCCCTCTACTCTCTCTTGGAAAGATCAATGGAAAAAAATATTGTCAGGTGAGGATTAAAAAAAAAGAGATGAATAGGAATAGCTTTCATAAGTGTGGAAGTAAGAACAAGTGTTTTCTTCAAGTCAGTGTTCTAACTCTGATGAGAATTGTTATTTCCCTTTTCTTAGATTTTTGCCTTCATGACAACAGCTTGTTATGGTTGCAGTTTGGGTCTGGCCTTACGAAGATGGCGACCGTGACACTCCTCAGAAGCGCACTGTCTGTGTGTTAGTATCATTTGTTACTTCATTCGTCTGATCAGTTTGGATGCCATTTTGTTCAGATATAACAACAGTCCAAACGCTGTGTGTTTAGTAAGTGGAGAGATTCTAAGTATGGTTTTGGTTTATTTCATTATGATATTAAACAGAGAAATGGCCTTTAATTTTACATAAGTCTCTTTTTCTATTTCTGTATATTTTATGGATATAAAAATTTTGTCTTTAAAGGTATTGTTTATAAAAAAAAGGGGTATCTCTTTTGTTTAGTTGCTAAGTCATGTGAACCTTAATTTCAATAGGTAACTAGAACTCCCTAAAAAAAAACAAAAAACCACATTTCAAATAGGCTTCCCACTGAACTCTATCTTTCAGTGTAAAACAGGTTGGCATCCTTTTTCTATCATGGCCCAAAGCATTTGAACAAAAATTATGGCATTTGAGAATTTCTTTTTAGATCTTAGCACAAAATGTAAATATTTTAGGCTTTGTGGCCCATATCGTCTCTGTTACAACTACTATCCTCTGTTGTTGCTACATGAAAGCAGCCATAGATAATATGTAAATTAATGAATGTTCCCATAAAACTTTATTTACAAAAGCAGGCAGCAGGCTGGAGTAGGCCTGTGGACTGCAGGCTATAGTTCACTGACCTCTGGTGTAAAACCTTAGTTATGTGTCCTGTATGTTATTGAACTGGTCCCGAAAGGTATAAAGCTAATTAGAGAAACCACATACTTTTAGTCTCCGTATGCAGTAATCACACTGCCTTTGTGTTAATGGTCAAATACTTACTCTTGAAGGGGTGAATAGTTTCTCAAGCTAATTCAAGTAGCTTCCTGAGTATAGGAAAAAGTAATTTATGAACTGAACAATAGTTGCTTAATCAAACTTAGGGTCTCCTAACACCTGAGCAAAACTCTCATCTGGCATCCTTAAAATGAGATCTCCAGACAGACCATTAACCACTACTGGGGTTGGTTTCCAGCTACCTGTGTCTTACTTTGGATTTATTTATGCTTCAAAGTACAGCTGGTTTCCCTGTGCATGAATATACAAATATTTGTGTGTGGGCATGTGAGGCTTTACCAAATAGAGCTCTCCAAAGAGTTAACTTTTTATATGTTTTACATTACTTTCTGAGTTAAATCTGAGTAGATTAACTATAACTTAAAGTTGTAGATACTGACATGTTTTGAAAATAGCCCTGAGATCAGTGTTGTTTCTGCGTTGATGACAGATACACAGAATCCGTTTTAAAACAACAGCCGTCATAAAACCTGTGTGTGGTGGAAATGCACAGGAAAGTGGTATGGCCCACCTGCAGAGCCCCTGCTTGTGGAAAGGTGCCAATGGCTGGAGTGGGAGAAGTCAGGCCCCAGTCCCCCCCACCCCCACTCTCTTCAAACAAGGTACTCATCTCTTGCCCAGAGAGGGCTACCTCTGGGAAAAGAGGACTTTGTGATTGTTCTGCACTTTCAACCCTTTGCTTTTTGTGGCTGAATCACCCCATACGAG